AAGCCCCAAAAAGTTCAAACTTTTTAGGATAGTCCTGATATATAAGGCCAAAAAGCTTAAAGTTCTCCTATTGGCTATCTAAGTATTATGGGTAATGCAGGATTTATATCGTCAACCGTAGGGCTTTCTATAGGGCCACCGGCAGCGCGTGAGAACCAGGGGTTTTCTACGACCAGCCATCCCTGCGCGGCCCCCCGGCGGAATGATGAGAGGCTCTGTTAGGGTTTAGGGTTTACGGTTTAGGGCTTAGGGCTTAGGGTTTAGGGCTTAGGGTTTACGGTTTAGGCCTTAGGGTTTAGGGTTTAGAGCTTAGGGCTTAGGGTTTACGGCTTAGGGTTTAGGGTTTAGGGCTTAGGGTTTAGGCTGGTGTGGCACCGTACGCATGTCGTCCTCATGTCCCAGAATGTGTCCCCGCTAGTTACACCGGATCCGCTGTGCTACCGTCTCCTGGGGAGCTCGGCCAGAAATCCTATGAACCTTATAACCCTAAACCTTATAACCCTAAACCTAAGATTCCTAAACCTTATAACCCTAAACCCTACAACCCCAAACCTTATAACCCTAAACCTTATAAACCTGCGCCTTACAACCCTAAACCTTATAACCCTAAACCCTATAACCCTAAACCCCACGAACCCTAAACCCCAAAAAACTTTTTTGGGAATGGTCCCGGAGCGTGCAAGTACTAAGGAGAAACCTGGAACTCCTTGGCTGGACAAGCATTCCATCCGCACTCAGGGGTTTAGGGTTTACCTTAACCCCCCAAAAACCTACCTCTTTAAGGACTTATATAAAGAATTCATAATAAGGAACCCCAAAAAGGGAGGTTCTTTAGGGTCCAGGTAGGGGTTAGGGTTTAGGGTTTAGGGCTTAGGGTTTAGGGTTTAGGGTCCTCCTCAATCCCCGTCAAGACTTGGAAGAGAACTTCGGCCGTGGTCTTGAATCTGCCCAGCAGTTGAGGAGTAAAAGTTTGGTGGTGTCCTCCCTAAACCCTAAAACCCAAAACCCCAAACCCCTAAACCCTAAGCCCTAAACCCCTAAACCCTAAACCCCTAAACCGTCCTGGCCGTTTTCAAGTGGTGGTCCTTGCAGTCTCCTTGTGTTGTCTTTAGTGGGTCCTGGTGATCTCCCGGTGGCTCTCCCCCTGGTCTCTTGTGGTGGTCGTCCTGGTCGTGGTGGTCTTCGTCTTCCTACGGTTGATGATAGACATCCTGCATTACCTATAAACCGGAATATACCATAATTCCCATAATCATAGTTTACTAGGCTGTTCAGTAACCCCCTGAAAACAAGTATATACGTTTTAAGGTTAGTTGTAATATACTAGGAACCCAGGAACCCAAAAAGTAAAAAAGTATGCCACTGAGCAGCCTAGTTAAGGTAATGCAGGTTTTGTATCATCAACAGTAGTGGCCATGGTCGTCGTGATGCTCTGGCACAGTTTGGGGATCTACGCTGGCATCTAAACCCTAAACGTTTAGGGTTTAGGGTTCAGGGGTTTAGGGTTTAGGGTTTCCCTACACCCTAAACCCTAAACCCGCCGCAATAATCATGGTTGAGATTTCTCCCAGCCTATTCAGGAGCTAGGACCCAGGAGCTATAAAGGCGACGAGTCTAGTACAGGGGCCTTACTCTCAAGCAGAATAGATTTGGGGGTACGATAGAGTCTCGTATAGCTGTAAGGGGAGTACAACGGGATACTGTTGTTGTTGATTCTGACCCCCCAAAGTACCAACGCCCACCACAAACAACGAAAGTCTCAGGAAGGAACACAGCTACTATGCTTCAGCCCTAGTTTTCCTAGAAGATGGCCTAACGCAGGGGAATGGGGGAATGGGGGAGGCACGTGACGAAAAAGTCTGGCAGACAAGTCCCGCAATAGCCTGCATGGACACCACCCTAAACCCTAAACCCTAAACCCTAAACCCCAAACCCGAGCCTTCAGGCCAGGCTGCAAAGACAACACGCACGTCCCGTGCATTCGTGATGTAGACAAACGTGGGAAACTCGTGTGATAGGGTTTTGGGTTTAGGGTTTAGGGGAACCTCGTGTGAGTACCAACAGTTCACTGACTGTCACGTTATGACATTCTCTCCACACCAAACCACCAAAATACAGATCTGGCTTCATTTGCCGTGCAGTTCCCTGGGAGAACACAACATTAAGCCATAAAGCTAACACTAATTCCCGTATGCGGGTGTTGCCCTAAGGCAATGATAGAGTGATACACATGATTAAACCAATAGAATACTCTGACAATCTTGTCCTGTTGCGGTGCTTCCCTAATTACTTCCTAACATGTTCTGCCCGCAGAATTGAAAAAAAAACCAAAAGTGTAGCCGCTGCACCATACGAGCCCTAAGGTATAACCACGCCCTAATTAAACCTCCAGCAAAGCCTAAGCCCTTCCCCGCCTCCCCCCCCCCAAACCCTAAACCCTAAACCCTACAGCCTAAACCCTAAACCCTAAACCCCCAAGTCCTTGAATTGGGGGCGGCGTTGCGACGTTGTGGCCATGGCAGAGGCTGCATGCTGCTAATGTGAGGTTGAACGCCTCCCGGATGAGGATTAAAGTGGTACCGGCTCAAGGTTCAGGGTTTATAGGGTTTAGGCTTCAAGGTTTGGGTTTAGGGTTCAGGGTTCAAGGTTAGGGTTTAGGGTTTAGGGTTTAGGGTTCAGGGTTTAGGGTTTGGGACCCGGTATTTCATGATCGAGATCAAGGATAAACGATGCGGCGCATGGATTCCGGAGGTGGTATCGGGCTTCTTAAGTTCCATGTGCATACACACGGATCTTGTCCCCAGGGCCGGACTTTTGTCTCTGCCTTTTGGCCGTCATGTCTACCGGAGGAAGAATAAACAGTATCTTGTTTGAGCTCAAGAAATGCTGAGGGGAGTGTCACTTTCCGCAGTCCCACAGATGTGCGCCGCAACGGAACAACAAACCATGAATAAACATGCACTCGCGCAAGTATGCATCGAACGAAGACATAGCAAACAAACGCACGCACGCATAGATGCATATGTTTTCACCTACAGGTATGTAAGTGTCTATACACCGACACCTACTAACGACGACGTTTATGTCGGTGTATGTAATTATGCATGTCTGTATGTATGTCTGCCTGCCTGCCAGCCTGTCTGTCTGTCCCTGTCTGTCCCTGTC